CCACAATCATTTTAATTTTACATTTATTGAAGGTACAAATATATCAAATGATAAATAAATGTAAAAAGTTGAAAATTTTAATAAGTTCTTGAAAAGAGAATCACTGTTGCAATGTCATTTTAGACTTATTGTTTTGGAATGTATAAAAACAAGACTCCCCCTGAATAATCACATGAACAATCTGGTCTATCCCAGAATGCCCAGTGAGAAGATTGATCATGCTTAGATAGAGGAAACCACCTGGGGTGCCATTAGTTTTATCTGATCAGTGTGTTATATTCTGTGTGTGAAATCTTAGTGGATGCAGTATTTATTTATCCTAATTATAAGAAATTAACAAGCATACTGGTTATTATATTTCAGAACATTTAATTGTACATAATTATATTTAAAGGACAATTAATAACTATGTATGTTTATTGTACACATAAATTAATGGCAGAGTAAAATTGTAATCTGAATGAATATGTCACAGATTTTTTTTGTAGAATATACTATTTTATATGGCATAAAAACATAGATTTAAGATTATATAAACCTAAGTTAAGTCTATATATAGAAAGAAACTTATAGACATAAATACTGATTGTTTCTTTCTGTATTATAGTTTTGCTCTTACACTATTCTTAAAAATGGAGAAGATATCTAGTAACGATAATTATAAATAATAAAAAAAAATATGACAATTTTTTTTAAAGTCTTTCTTGATCATCAGTTTTTTGAATAGTATTTCTTTTATTATCATTAGATGCAATACATTTATAGCCATTAATAAATGTATTTTATGTCAACAAGGACTTGATTTAAATTATTCCATGTTTTCACACTTAAATTTTTTTAATTGATTTTTCCCTAATAAATTGCTTCAGAAATTTAAAGAAAAAATTTATTTAGAAGGTAGTTGGCCATTGACAATGTCCATACTGAAAATTGATTTCCCTGGACCATGCTGTCTTGCATGGACTAACCATGGACAACTGTTTGCTCTGACCATGGATTAAATAAATATCCATGGGCAATCTACAGCCGGGTTGGTAGCTTGGTTTGAGTAAATCTGCCAGCTTTAACTGTTGATCATTGCTTTTGATGCCCTTGTTAAGTTAATCATGATAACCATTATGGCTTAACATTTTCCGAGATGAAATTTAGTAAAGTACAAATTTCCGAGGTCATTTCCAAGCTAAATATTGGCAAAGTGTTTCCAACAAATTTACGTAAATGTTCTAAGTTCTTTTCCGAGCAAAAAAAATGACAAAGTTCTTCATTTCCAAGCTTTTTCCAAGCTGATTTTTGGCAGAGTGTTTAAATTCCGAGATAGTTTCCAAGGTTTTTCTTTATTTCCAAGGATTTTATACCAAAAACCTTGGATAAAGTTTCCAAGGTTTTAAAGAAAAAACCTCGGAATTAAAAAAAACCTTGTAAAACTGGTTTATTTCCAAGGTTTTTGAAGCAGTTTCCATGTTTTTTAACAAACCTCGGAAAATCTACACCCGGGAAGACTAATGGTTGGAATTTCAATATAACTACATACAATGGTCAAGCACATTGAGAGGAAGTGCAGTGCGTAAGAAACATAACTCTATCTTGAACTAATTACAGAGTTATTGCCCTTTGTTACTTTTCCTTGTCCGTGGCTTAACTTGAAAACTACTGGTTGGAATTCAAAACAACTTCATACAATTGTCAAACACACAATAAGGGGAAGTGCAGTGCACAAGAACCATAACTCTATCTAAAGTAATTACAGATTATTGCCCTTTGTTGCTTTTCAATTGCCTTTTTTTTGTCCGAGCATAACTTTGAAGACTAATGTTGGAATTCAATAAACTAAATACAATGGTCAAGCACATTAGAGGAAGTGCAGTCATAAGAACCATAATCTATCTAAAGTAATTACAAAGTTATTGCCCTTTATTCTTTTTCCATTACTTTCTTTTTTGTCCGGACCATAACTTGAAGACTAATTGTTGGAATTCATTTATAACTTCATACAATGGTCCAGGCACATTGAGAGGAAGTGCAGTGCACAAGAAACCATAACTCCATTTTGACTTATTACAGAGCTACTGCCCTTTGTTTCTTTTCCTTGTCCAGAGCATGACTTTAAAACTACTGGTTGGAATTCAAAACAACTTCATACAATGGTCAAGCACAATAAGGGGGAAGGGCAATGCACAAGAAAATAACTCCATTCTTGACATAATTACAGAGTTATTTCCCTTTGTTTTTTTCCATTTTTTCTTTTTCCCGACCCAAATTTTTAAAAATTATTTTTGGGAAATTTAAATTTAACTTCATACAATGGTCAACCCATTTTAGAGGGAATTTCAGTGCATTTAAAACCATTTAAAAAAACCCTTTGATTATTTTCAGGTTTTCTACCCCTTTTTTATTTTCCCTTTTCCCAACATAATTGAAAATATGGGTTTAAATTCCCAAAAAAACGTCATACAAAAGGTCAAACACAATATGGGAAGGCAGGGGCACAAGCACCATAACTCCATTTGACAAAATAAAAAAGTTACGCCCCTTTTATACTTTTCCTTGTTTTCCCAAACATAACTTAAAAATACGGGGTTGGAAACCAAAAAAATTATTTCAATGGGCCAAACCAATAAAGGGAAATTTCATGCACAAAAACATAATTATTTTCAGTATTTTAGAGTTATTGCCCCTTTGTTTCTTTTCTTGTCTTTTTTCTGGGGGACTTATTTTTTTTACAATCCCCCAGTAATTCAATTAAACTTCATCAATGGCCAACCACATTTGAAAGGAAAATGCAACATACATGAACCACAATTATCTTTAATTTACCCACAACCATAACTCTATGTTTCAATTCTTTTTACAAGGTATTCTGTTACTAGTAACATCCTCATTTTTCCGAAGCAGACTTGTGGGGGGTATTAATCACATTTAGTGATAGTTCTAGTTTCAGATTTATCTCCCCTTGAACTTAGAATTTCTTTAAAAAAATATTTTTTTACTGTAACTTATTTATTTTAAAGGGATCAACTTCATACTTCAAATAAATGTACTCATCATTATCCACATCTTAATGTGACAAGGTACATAACTCTAATACCAATATTGCAAGAATTATTTCCCCATCAACTTAGATTTTTTTACTAGAAAAATGTTATTTTTTACTATAACTTTTTTAGGTTTAAAGGTATCTACCTCAAACTTCAAATACTTATTCCTTATAATCAATTATATTTTATGTGACAATGTTCATAACTCTTGAAGTAATTTTTACAGATTTATCTCTCTTTGAACTAAGGATTTTCTTTAAGAAATATTATAAATTTGTTACTTTTTAAGGTATCTACTTCAAACTTCAAATATATACTTCTAATCATTACATACATGTTGTGTGACAAGGTTCATAACTCTAGCGTGACTATTTCTAGAATTATTTCCCTTGATCTTGGAATTTATTTTAACAAATGTTTTTTTTTTACTATAACTTAATACATAATTATACATAATTGATTATTCTTTCATAGTTTTGTCCTCCTTACTGCATCCAGTATTTTTTTAGTCGAGCTTGGATGTCTCCTGTGACAGCTCTTGTTGACGTTGGTTCCGATCTTAGCTGTGTATTACGTAGAACCAAAATTATAAAAGGTGTGGCCTGTTTTGCAAAAATTACGTATTCATCCGTCTGTCATAAATTTATTTCTTGACAGCTACATTTCATTTTCTGAAATTTCCTATAGAAGTGTAGTATAAGGAAAATCATTTACACTTCAAACGAAAAGAGAGAAAAAAAAAGGAAAATTATGTTGTACTAGCTTTCACAGGCTATGCATTTTTCTACCCGCAACATTGGAAAATTGATATCTCGCTTGACCTTCTGTCTCGCGAGATATCAATTTTCCACCGCTGCTCGTAGCAAAATACAAAGCCTCAGAAAGCTACTACAACATAATATTCCGTGTATATATATGCTTATATAATTAACAAGTTTTGGCTTCAAATTGTCACATAATAAAAGGTGATTAAATATCATAAGAGGCCGAATGACATAAACGACATAGGACTGTGTTCAATCCCAAACGCTTGTCAAACTGCTGGTCGCCTTGTTAAATATACAATATCATTTTCACACCTCTGCAAGGAGGTTTTGATTGCATTTAACAAGTATTTATACAGATACGTGTACATCTCCGAATTTCTGAACAAATTGGATACACCAATCTTTCTAAATCGCAAAAAAGTAGAAATAAAATATTTTTTATCGAGGAATCTGATGTCAATTTTGTTAACCGATATTTGGACGTTCGAACGAGTACTCGGTTAACCGGTTACTCGTTGCCATCCCAATATTTAGTATGAAGCATTGCCAAAGTTATGAAAATCATGAACATGGGTCAAATAGAGCCATACCTTAGTATCATGTTTATAATTTTTTCTTTAAATAGGAAAGTGACTTGACTGAGGACCTATAAATCAGCCTTTTAAAATTTTTAAAACCCTTCTAGAAATTTGGTTTCATTAAAAAAAACAGTCTTTTTAAGAAAAGGGCATGTTTAAAAGAAAAATTTTTTATAGTGTCATTTTTCCCCCCCTTTTGGGCTACCCGATTATATTAAAAAATTTACATGTACACCTAAATTAATTTCTTTTGCAACGCAAAAAAACTTTTTGGGGAAGATAAAATTCTTCACAAAATTATTATTTTTTTTATGATTGTTGACATTTGTGAAATCCGAGGCGGTTTTCATTTAAAAACCAAACTTTTTGACGGGTTGGGCATTTTTAGAATTTTTCCCTGCAGTAAAATCCGTGTTTTACAATTTAAAAGTGGTTGTTTGATGAAAAATTAATATCATTAGCCGTAGCCGATCGTGTTGAGCAAATGTCACTTTGAAATACATTAAAGATATAAAGGAAAAGATCTTGGGGGGGGGGGGATTTACATTGGTCGCTTAAGACAAAATTTGCTTAATACATGTGGTCGCATGGGCAAGTTTAAAGATTGTTTTTTACTGATCAAGCTCAAATGCAAGTTTTCATAACTTCATGTTTCAAAAGTAGCAACTAAAGACCTGACTGCAAATAAGAAATCTAAAATGAAAAAGGGGTGTATCATTTGGGTACAGTTAGCATAAATAAGTATAAACTATAGACTCTATATATAGGTGAGCGATTTCAGGGCCATCATGGCCCTCTTGTTTAGATAATATTTATTATTGGCACACAGTAAAAATACCAATATTACTGTATACAATAGATATTTTTGAAAATTACTAAATTATTTAAAATAAAACACAATTATTTGTTTTATTAATTATGTTGTAGGAGATAGAAAGACTCAAGTTAGAAGATTCTCCTCAACAGAAACAGTTAGAATATAAAAAGGCAAAATCAGGTATGTTATATAGAAAATGAAAGGGTGAAATCAGGTACGTTATATAGAATAGGAAAAGGTTAAATCAGGTATGTTAAATAGAATATGACTATGAATATGACTATATTGTACAGAATTTGAAAAGACTAAATCAGGTATGTTATATATTATTGAAAAAGGCTAAATCAGGTTTGTTATATATTATATAAAAATGCTTAATCATGTATGCTATATAGAAAAGGGCTAAAATAGAGAAAATAAGAATCCCTAAAGAAAGCCCAAAACGACAACATTAAAATTGTCGCAGGCTTGGTTTGATTGAGCTTGTTCATTGGACGGTACTGGTAAGTGCAAACTACCGTCCACGCCCCTAGCACTGGCTTAAGCAGAAGTCAACATTTAAACATAAAATGATAAAATTTTGCATTTAAAAACATCCGTAGATATGTTCATATGGCGGTTTTCAATGCGACACTTCCGTGCCATTCCATGAAAAGCCATGTATGGTCCCCAAGTATTAGAAAGCGTGTGCCTCGAGTATTTTATATAAAATATGAAAAGGCTAAATCAGAAATGTTATATACATGTAGATAATGAAAAGGCTTAATCAGGTATGTTACATATAATATGAAAAAGGCTAAATCAGGTATGTTATATAATATATGAAAAGGCTAAATCAGGTATGTTATATAATATATGAAAAAGGCTAAATCAGGTAGGTTTTATAATATATGAAAAGGCTAACTCAGGTTTGTTATACAGTGTATGGAAGGGCTTAATCAGTTATGTTGTACAGAATTTGAAAAGGCTATCAGGTATGTGATAAATAAAAAGGCTTAATCAGGTTTGTTATATAAAATATGAAAAGGCTAAATCTGGTATGTTATATAAAATATAAAAGAATTAATCAGTTATGTTATATTATAGAGTATGAAAAGGCTAAATCAGGTATGTTATAAGGCTAAATATGTAATGTTACATAGAATATGAAAAAGCTTAATCAGGAATGTTACATATGATGTTATATATTACATGAAAAAGGCTGAATCAGGTATGTTATATATGAAAAGGCTAAATTGGATATTTTATGCAGGATATGTAAAGGCTAAATCAGGTATGTTATATACTGCAGTCTGGGAAATAAGGCACACCTCAATGCCATAGGCGAGAAAAAATCCCATTTGGGCCTGCAAAAAATCCATAGCAAAAATGTAAACCCGAAGTACGATTTAATTTGGAATGTGTCTTCATACAAAATGAGTTTCAGTTTCAATTCTTTTGAGACTGGGAGATAAACTTTGTGGTTGTGTTACGTAGGGTTATTCATTTATAGAATGCAATGCTTCTTTTTGTTGATATTTGTTTTCATATTTTAAACAAAGTAGAAAGCAGTAGATTGACAAGTAAAGTTAAGTATATATAAACAGAAATAGAGAATTTTATTTAAAAACTGGCTGACTGATATTCTGTGCGTGTGTGCCTAAATTCAACTGTCTTTATTTTGCACAATAAGTGTTTGGGCCTGTGATAATCTGTTTATACAATTTTTTCTGTATCATTAACTCATCAATTAGTCCTTAACAATTGGATTTCATATTATCATTTAAATTACAGAATGGCGGGAAAAGCTGATAGAACAGTATCACAAAACCCTGCTGCAAGTTCCTACAACACCTTTACAACCAAAAAGTGAAAAATGTAGCTTTAATGAGATTTATATTAGGCCCAAAATTACGAGGGAAATAAAAGGAGAAAAGGGTGAAACAAAGGAGGTGGAGGTTGAAACAATGTCAGAAATCTTCACAAAGGAGGGAGTCCCACAAAAATCTGTATATGTTCTAGGAGATGCAGGGTCAGGAAAAACTAGTTTTTGTAAATATCTGGTGAACTGTTGGTGTTTGGCACATAGTGAGGAACATGAAGCTGACAATGAATATGAAGATGACAGTGGTAAACCTGAAGTTGACAGTGAAAATCATGGAGGTGACGGTGAAAAACATGGAGCTTGCAATAAAAATGAAGATGGCAGTAGTAAACTAAAAGGCGACAGTGAAAAACATGGAGGTGACGGTGAAAAACATGGGGCTGGCAATGAAAATTGATTGTGGCAGTGGTAAACCTTCGAAGGCGACAGTGAAAAAACATAGAGGTGGCAGTGAGGAACCAGGAGGTGATAATGAAGAACATGAAAAAAAAAGGGGAAGTGACATTGTAAATGAAAGAGGTAAAGGGACAATGTGGAAGACATTGGAAAAACCGAAGGGCAGTAAGACACATGGATTGTTATTTGAGAAACGAGGAGAGGGGAAAAAGCATGTGGGTGGCATTAAGAAAAATGAAACTGATAAGTGAGGACTCTGGATGACATTTCGGATAACAGTGTGGCTTAATTACTTCTCCGAATTCTCACAAATGATACTCTGATGAGATTTCTTAAACGGACTTTAGATTTAACAGTTTAATGACTTCTTGAATATTGATAGCAAAAGTTTATGAACTGAAAATTAATGGTGTAAAAAATGAAGAAATTTGAAAATTTGTATTTTACATCCCTCTTAGGCAGTATCAGAACATTGGCACTATCGATGAAATGCTTCAAAAACGTTATCAGATGAAAATGTTAAACACACTTCTTGAAGAGGAATCCTCTAGAGTCATAATTTTGCTTGATGGCTTGGATGAATGGTCTTCTGAAAATGTCCCAGAACATAGCATCTTTATGGAATACACAATGGTAACTACTTCACGGCCATGGAAATTTCATACATTAAGTGAGGTGGAGATGGAACAGTCGCTGAATCTGAAAGGGTTTGATTATAGATGTGAAAGGGAAATGGTAAATAGGACAGTCTCACAATTAAATGTAAATAGACATGTTAATAAAGAAGCAAGAGATTGTAGGAAAAAGCTAGAAGAAAAGTCTCTGAGAAGTTTAAAACAGGTACCAATTATGCTACACCAACTGATATGTCTATGGTTTGATGGTAAACTCGATAAAACCTCAAGATGTGCCATATACACCGGTATGTTAGAGTTATTCTTCACCTGGAATGACATGAAAACTACAGGAACAAGTACTCCGACTCATGAAGGGGGACCCAGAAAGTAGATCTTCCTAAATATTTAGCTGATAAAACTAAATTAAAATTAAACCGCCATTTCATTTATGAAGTGTCACAGTTGGCTTATGAGACAACTATTTAATTGCCGAAGGATAAATCCTTGGTATTTGACAATTGTATGTTTGATGAACTAGAAATTTCAGATGAAGTAAGAGAAAATTGCTTGAAACTTGGAATAATGACAGAAGATGAATGTCCAAGTTTATCTGTATCAGAACCACCAAGCTCATTGTTCTCTTTTATTCACAAATCAATGCAAGAATTTCTGGCTGCAGTGAATATTTGCCATTAATTTCAGTGCAAAAATTGGTTTGTCAGATAGTACAGGAAATGTTGAATTAGCCAAGAAGTTTATTAATGAGGTTTTTCAGAAATGTTCAACAGTAAATGACAATATTAGAGCAGTCAAATGTGATCACTATGTTATGTGGTCGAGAACTAAGATTAGCAACACATGTTTCAAAATACATATATGATTTACTGTTGTCAGAAGACTCTCGTGTTCAGGAATACAGGACAACAATAAGTAGTAACATTTATAGGGATCATGTGCACCATCGTTTTATTACTGATGTTCAAAAGCTTGTGTTTGAGTCAATGGAAGAATTAAACGCAGCATGTAGTATAGAAAGTAATACTGTATTTTAATATAGGAGATTTGGTTTCATTGATGATAGTGATGATTGTGATATTGTTTTCAAGTATTGATCCCGCATCAGATTGTTTTCCTGAAACCTCTTTCTGCTAATTATGTAGGATACAAACAAGAAAAGAATGTTGTAAAATTTACAAGAATATTTACCAATGTTTTTCATCTTGGGAAAAAATTTTAAAGGTAATATTATTCAAAAAAAACACTAAGTTATACACATAGTACTGGAAACACAGATGATGATGAGATTAACAATTGTGTTTGTGAGACAAAATTAAAAGTAAATACTTTTCAACTTAAAGTCTCTGACTTCTTCATGTCTCTTACACTGTTCAAGTATTACCCAGTGTATAAAACATTTTTTACCTCACCTAGTATGGATCGATCTTGTTCAAGCAATAAGTATGAGTGTTATAGACAATGAAGTCATGCTGATTACTACTTACCATTTTGTAATATTTTATGAGGAACCATCATTTGAACAAATACTCTTAATATTGTTAAAAAGTAGTGTGGGAGCAGCAGATGTTAAATTATCAAAACATCAACAACTTCAGAAAACCCCTTAAATTTTTTTAAAAACTGTTAGTGTGATAAATGTTTGAATTTCTACCAAACCCTTTAAAAAATTTTAAAATTTGTGAATTTTAAAAAAAATAAATTTTGAGAAAAAATTTTTTATTATTAGAAATTTTAAAAAACAAAAAAATTAAATTGGGAAAGGGGTGATAAAAAATAAATCTCAGTTATTTTCATTTTCCAAAATAACAAATTTGACTTGTCACAGTTTACCATTGTTACACAATTCCGTAAGCTTGAGGGAAATTTGTGTTTGGGAAAATACAATATAATACAGTTACCTTTTGAGATGAAGAGTTTAAAAAAACATTTAAACCCTTTGTTATTCGTAATTTATTTTTACAACTTTTCAGAAATTTGTTTATTTGCTTCCTAGTATTCCTCCCCTTCCCGAGTGTAATGATGAAAATGTGAATAACGGAGATGGTGAGGAGTGTAATATTGATATGTTTAAAGGAGGGTTTACATTGACATTAGGAGAACTTAGAGCAGGGAAGGAAAATGATGCTATACAGTATGTAAAAGACCAGGATCAGTTATTTCATGTTAAACTTGATGATGTAGTTTGGTTTGACTTTTCAACAAAAAAGTGATAAAGTATCCATTTCGTTACATAGTTTTTGAACTATTTTTTTTTTCAATATTAACAATAAAAATAATGGTTTGAATCTTTAACACAGTGAAATAGGATACATGACGTTAACATAGTGATTAAACTAAATTATTGCATGTTAAAAGAGATATTTTTTTTTTCATCTTTGACAAAAAAGAAATGATCTGAAAATTTAACATAGTGAGATAGAATACATGCAGTTAACATAGTGCTTAATCTAAATTATTTCGTGATAAAAAACATAATTATTAAAATAAACATTATCAGCAAAATAAAAATATAATACTAAAGTTACATATTGATAAGTTAAATAATGAATGTAATACAATATGATAAATAACAATCATCAAAAACAGTTCATTAAATATCAATTTCTGGTCATTGTAGTAATATTGAAATTGATGAAAGTAATATTCAAATGTGTAATTAAATAAATAAATGAAAGAAATGCAGTGAAATATAAAGAAAATATAGGTAACTGTTTTTTTAAAGATCAGGGATAGTTTGTGAAAAGTATAATTTGAAAAAGTAATAGATTCTTTGAATTATAAATACATAAATAGATTAGCAAGTAAATAAATTAATGAATAAGTAAATATAATAAGTAATTTGAATGGAAATATCATAATGTACAAGGTCAGAAAAAGTAAAAGATAAATATAACTTTCAAATACCAGTTATATTATATAATATATGATAGGATAAAGGAATGGTATATGTTATTACCAGTTATATAAGAAATATGTCCAGAGAATGGTATATATCAATACCAGTTATATGATATATAGGACAATTGAATGGTATATATTAACACCAGTTATTTGATATATAAGACAAGGGAATGGTATATATAAATACCAATTATATGACATTAAGGACAATGGAATGGTATATTTTTCATATTAATACCAGTTATATGATATATAGGACAAGTGTTTGGTATATAAAAATACCATATATGTATATTATATGTTAAATATGCAAAGGAAATGGTATATATCAATACCAGTTATAATATATAAAGGAAAATGGAATGGTATAAATGAATACCAGTTATATGTTATATAAAGCAAAGGCATGTTATATGTAAATTCCTGTTATACAATATTTAGACAATGGAATTATTTATATCAACACCAGTTATATGATATGGAATGGTATATATATAAATACCTGTTAGATGATATATATAGGACAAGTAAATTGTTTCATTGAGATGAGCACCATTTACATGTTATATTTTAGAGATTCCTTCTTTGATTGTTTGATATTATAAAGATTGTAAAAATTTACAAATTGTAAATATGGAAAACCATAAATGTGTACAAGTTAATACTGTTAGTCAGTATTATTCAAACATTATCGTTAAAGGGTCTCCACTGACGATAATATTTTCTTAAATTCTTGACATGATAGGACGGGAGTTATGTTGTTGAGGTTTCATACTATTTGAAGAAGATATATTACTTTTCATGTAAAAAAGTTGTATGCAAAATTTCAGATTATTTGCTCACTTTGTTTTTCCAAAATACTAGTAATCATTTTAGCTCGGCTATTCAATGAATAGAGATAATGCTATAATAGTACTTACCGCATTGGCGTCAAACTTAGGTCACTTTTATGTGTGCAAGTTGGTATCTAAAAAACTACTGAATGAAAATTTCAATTGACATTCTTGTTCTTTAACATGGCCAACACAAATCCCATACCTCTGATATTTTTTCCTCATATTTATTCCCCTTTTACGACTTAAAAAATCTTGGTTAAGTTTTTACGTATAAGAGTGGATTAGAACTTCACACACATATATGAGAGTAATAGGAAGTCACTGTCCGAGCACATAGATATTTGACAGAATTATTTCCCTTTTTGAAGTTAGAAAATTCTGCATTATCCATCACTGTGGATAGTCAAGCACAATGTCCTGTCGACAGTGTTTAAATGTTTATAGCTAAAGTCCGTCTGAAAATTACACTTCATTAATATCGATTTTCAATTTTATTCCGAGTATATTTCTTTAGTATCATTTTTTCCCTTATTGAATATCCCGATTAATCTGTTTTGGATTTTATATTTTTATTCTTTATTGTTTGGCTTTTGGACCTCAGTGGAGCTCCTTTAAGTGAACTATTTGTT